GCTTGGAAAGGTTGGGAAGTTGAAATGATTAAAACGCGATAAAGCACTTGAAACTTTAGCCTTTTAAAATATTTTATGTATCTACGGGGTTTTATCAGCCTTTATAGACAACTAGGTCATATTAAAGAAGTTGTTTCACGTCTCAATTGAGTCAACTGATTCCAAAGAATACAATATCTTTCTAGAGTTATCGGTGCCGAGGAGCACCTATAATGAAGACCTCAGAGGTTCTCGTCAGAGAAGGAACGAGAACTCCTCACTAAGGCATCCTTTGGTGAAATGAATCTACCTTAAGATGAATCATAATCTAATACAAATTTCCTCTAAAGACTTATGGTTGATGAAATGTAGTTAGAAATAACACAGAAGACTCCAACATAGGAATAAATCTCGAAATAAAGCGGGATGCGGCCGTCGTCAGCCAGAAAAAATTGTCAAATAAAGGAAGACAGCACTATGTTAACGGCTTTCCATAATTTGTAATAATACAAGAATAGAATTGCACAATCTGAGTTCTGTATTTATTTAAGATATTTCATTCACTTGTAATTTGCAGTTGTAGCTTACTAATAGAGTTTGTCTTCATGTCGTGTTAGTTATTTAAGGAAGTGTAATATATATCTATAGAGTTTTCGTAACCGCTTGGATCCTCTTAAAGCCGTTGCTCGACGAAATCATCAGTTAAATAAAGGCAATGATAGGATAGGAGAAAGGATTAGTAAACTCATTTCAGGAATTTCTCCACATCGTATGGTATATTTGACCCTTTTTTTCATTTAATAATTAATTTTGTTTAAACAATAGCTCGAGAAAAACAAATGATAAAATATATGAATGATTTTCTTATTGAGCTAAGACTCCACGAAGGGAGACGCTCGCCAATGGTAATTTTTGGCTTTGCCTTTGACTTTCTTCAATTTTCTTCGGTGAAAGTTCTCATAATTTTCACAATATTTGAAATTTGTCCAGCCGATCATTTAAAAGCCGAAATTTTCTTGGCTACTTGCAATTTTTTGTTTTCTTCATCTACTTCAAATTCCACCAAAGGAAACACGATAAATCTTGCTCGAAAGATCCCTATTTTCTTTGTCGCAGAACAGCACTTAAAAGAATAGAACTTCGCCAAAATCTGTATCTGAGCATGCATAAACTTTCGAATCTGTCGCCTGTTGGTGATTTTTCCCAAGGTGTTTTCTTTTCAGTTGACTTCTTTTTCAGGCGTAGAGGGCCTATAAATATTACGGGTGCAGTTGCTGGAAACCTAAGATTCCATTAAATAAAAACTTTTAAACTGTTTTTAACACATTAATAAAGGGGGTAAGTTTCTAAAGAAACAGTGGGGCTGCGTCGGTGGGAGAGTATAGAAGGTAATTTGGTGTTAACAACTGAGTTGAAAACGTAAATTGGCCTCTGTAAAAGGTAAAAAAGCTGACCGTTCGAGTGTTAGCCCTTCGTCAGGCCAATTTACGTTTTCAACTCAATTGTTAACACTAAATTAACTGTTTTTATCACACCTTTTCAGATAACAATTGTGCGATCGTATCGAGCCGCCATGTTATGCATGTTGACACTTTTTAAGTTTGTTCTATGTTCGCACCCAGATCTCGGTCACAAAACCCTATAGAACCTCTTTGAACCAAAAAGTCTGCCATCATCCTTTCGATATCTCTTTGTACAATGATTTCCTTTCTTTAATATTTAGAGCACCTGCGAAGAAGATGATCCTTGCAAGGAGAATGAAATTTGTTTTGTTGACTACAAATCAAACACTCATGTTTGTAAGTGTATTAGAGGTAAGTGGAGATCTGTTCGGGGAAAGACAAAAACAACTCTGGAAGAGGGACATACTGAAAATGCCGGGGACAGATAAGGGAATGAAAGATCAAGGATGTAACTTCCATTACAAAAACATCTAGAGAGAGAGAGAGAGAGAGAGAGAGAGAGAGAGAGAGAGAGAGAGAGAGAGAGCTAGAGTGATCTGGGTATTTGCTACGTGGTTAGATTCTTGTGGGTATTTTCTACGGTACAAAATACCCATTGAGGGTTTTTGCTACGGTAGGAAATACCCATGTGGGTTTTTGTTACGGTAGGAAATACCCATGTGGGTATTTGATACGTTCAATGGGTTTTTGCTACGGTAGCCAATACTCATCTGGGTCTTTGCTACTCCCAAGTGGGTATTTGTTACCGTAGCAAATACTCAAAATGGGTTTTTGTTACCGTAGCAAATACTCAAAATAGGTATTTGACAAATTTTTACCTATTTCAAGGTTTCATATTAAAGAAAACTATTTTTGGTTCTACGGTTTATTACCGAAGAAGTACATCATTAGCGGTCAGCGTTCACACACTTCAACTTTCGTTTTCGTGTTTCACGTGTTCGTCGATGACGGCAACTTTCAAACGGTAAGAAAATAAGATCAACATAGGTTTCTTGTTATATTTCGTCCCTTAAGCAAGTGGTTATCAACGAAATACGCTTTGCAAGCATCCAAGGTATAAGTGTCGATATATTTTTTACAATATTTGAGAAAAAAAAGCCGATAAACTTGAAGAATGATTGGCCTTCGTAATATCTTACATAATTATCGGTTTACTTATATTTAACTTCCAAATCATATAGATATGAATCGTAGAATGCATTTTTTTCTGCTTTGTTCTAACAATGAAGTGGGTGAAAGCTCTTACTTAAAAAAATAAAATTGCTTTTTATAAACAGAAATTCCCTTGATAGCAACAAAACATCGATCGATGTTTCAGGACTTTGGATAAGTTATTTTCGATGCTATTATTTATTGTGATCATCTCTTATCCTATTTCAATCCCTGTCAAATCATTGCAATCATCTCTTATGCTGTGTTGATCACTGTCAAATCATTTTAATCAACTGTTATGCTGTGTTGATCACTGTCAAATCATTCTAATTAACTGTTATGCTTTGTTGATCACTGTCAAATCATTCTAATAAACTGTTATGCTGTGTTGATTACTGTCAAATCATTCTAATCATCTGTTCTGCTGTGTTGATAAATTTCAAATCATTCTAATCAACTGTTATGCTTTGTTAATCACTGTCAAATCATTCTAATCATCTGTTATGCTTTGTTGAGCACTGTCAAATCATTCTAATCATCTGTTATGCCTTGTTGAGCACTGTCAAATCATTCTAATCATCTGTTATGCTGTGTTGATCACTGTCAAATCATTCTAATCATCTGTTCTGCTGTGTTGATCACTGTTAAATCATTTTAATCATATGTTATGCTGTGTTGATCACTGTTAAATCATTGCAATCATTTCTTATACTCTAGTGATCACTGTCAAATCATTCTAATCATCTGTTCTGCTGTGTTCATCACTGTTAAATCATTTTAATCATATGTTATGCTGTGTTGATCACTGTTAAATCATTGCAATCATTTCTTATACTCTAGTGATCACTGTCAAATCATTCTAATCATCTGTTCTGCTGTGTTCATCACTGTTAAATCATTTTAATCATATGTTATGCTGTGTTGATCACTGTTAAATCATTGCAATCATTTCTTATACTCTAGTGATCACTGTCAAATCATTCTAATCATCTGTTCTGCTGTGTTCATCACTGTTAAATCATTTTAATCATATGTTATGCTGTGTTGATCACTGTTAAATCATTGTAATCATTTCTTATACTCTAGTGATCACTGTCAAATCATTCTAATCATCTGTTCTGCTGTGTTGATCACTGTTAAATCATTTTAATCATATGTTATGCTGTGTTGATCACTGTTAAATCATTGCAATCATTTCTTATACTCTAGTGATCACTGTCAAATCATTCTAATCATCTGTTCTGCTGTGTTGATCACTGTTAAATCATTTTAATCATATGTTATGCTGTGTTGATCACTGTTAAATCATTGCAATCATTTCTTATACTCTAGTGATCACTGTCAAATCATTCTAATCATCTGTTCTGCTGTGTTCATCACTGTTAAATCATTTTAATCATATGTTATGCTGTGTTGATCACTGTTAAATCATTGCAATCATTTCTTATACTCTAGTGATCACTGTCAAATCATTCTAATCATCTGTTCTGCTGTGTTCATCACTGTTAAATCATTTTAATCATATGTTATGCTGTGTTGATCACTGTTAAATCATTGCAATCATTTCTTATACTCTAGTGATCACTGTCAAATCATTCTAATCATCTGTTCTGCTGTGTTCATCACTGTTAAATCATTTTAATCATATGTTATGCTGTGTTGATCACTGTTAAATCATTGCAATCATTTCTTATACTCTAGTGATCACTGTCAAATCATTCTAATCATCTGTTCTGCTGTGTTCATCACTGTTAAATCATTTTAATCATATGTTATGCTGTGTTGATCACTGTTAAATCATTGCAATCATTTCTTATACTCTAGTGATCACTGTCAAATCATTCTAATCACCTGTTCTGCTGTGTTCATCACTGTTAAATCATTTTAATCATGTTCTGCTGTGTTGATCACTGTTAAATCATTGCAATCATGTGTTATGCTGTGTTGATCACTGTTAAATCATTTTAATCATCTGTTCTGCTGTGTTGATCACTGTTAAATCATTGCAATCATGTGTTATGCTGTGTTTATCACTGTCAAATCATTCTAATCAACTGTTATGCTTTGTTGATCACTTTCAAATCATTCTAATCATCTGTTATGCTGTGTAGATCACTGTTAAATCATCTGTTATACTCTGTTGATCACTGTCAAATCATTGTAATCATGTTATACTGTGTTTATCACTTTCAAATCATTGAAATCATCTTTTATGCTGTGTTCATCACTGTCAAATCATTTTAATTATCTTTTATGCTGTGTTGATCATTGTCAGATCATTCTACTCATCTGTTATGCTGTGCTAACCATTGTCAACTCTATCATTGAGATCAGTTTTCTATTTGTTTGTATTATAGTAACCATGGAAGGTAGTTCTGAAATAAGGAAAAAGTCTCGGGAATCTAAAAAGTGTGTTCGAGATGTGGGAAATCAGTTATAAATTTATCTCGTCATCAGAAGGATGTACATAAAGTGAATAAGATTTTTCGTCAGGTAGATGTATATATAAATGGAAACAAGAAAGCGCCTAATAGGAAGATAAAGTTTTGTCCGTTATCTCCATGCAAGCATTCAAAGAAAGGTGTCTTTCAACTTCATCATCATTTACAGTCAAATATCCACAAGCTTAATCCCAACTCAAACCAATACTTAGATGCGCTTAAATCTGCTCCGAGAATTGGGCTTCAAGAGCTACGAGATCACATTGCCAAGAGAAAGAAATCCAAAGCAAAGAGCGCCACAACTAAAGATGGTCCTAAAAAAGAGAAAAATCGAATCAAAATCACCTGTACGTGGAAAGGCCGCAAAAGGGTGAAATTTTACAAGGGTGACAAGGAAAATGAGTATAGTTTGGTGAATAGAATCGAAGCTGAGGAAGAAATTGAAAATGACTCGGATGATCAATTATTAGAAAATCCTGAAGGAGAAGCAACTATCAGCAGAAACGTGAGTAACCCTGGGCACCTCGCACCGACCTCCTCCAATAGTAATGCAGAGGAGCGCAAACTACATAATGAAGAAAGTTGTGAATCAAAGGTAAGAGAGACGTACAATGATGATGACAGCAAATTAGAGTATGATCAGCAAGTTGATAAAGTGGAACACAAGCTACATAATGAAGAAAGTGGAGATTCAGGCAATGATCATGACAGTAATTTGGAGTATGAAAAGTAATGGATCAAATGGAATCAAAGGTAGGTGATACACATGATGACCATGACAGCGATTTGGAGTATGATCAACTTGTGGATAACGTGTGGAAAAGAAATGAAGAGTGCAAGAAGCGAAGCTTTAAACAGTTAGTGTCTATGATGTCCTCCCAGTGTGAAAGCGATGCCGAGCTATCTGAAGAGTTAAACAACCGCAAAAATGCTGACCAAGTAATCCAACCACCTCAACCACCAGTGACGGCTGGTAATACCAAATCTAGTGAAATAGTTATATGCGACAGTGAAGAAGAGGAAATTTTAGACCCAAACTATCACCCTTCCCTGGACTCCGAATCAGAGTGTAGCACTGGAAGCTTGTCAGATAACTGCTCGTTGCAAGAAAGGGATGACATTTTAACTGATTTCGTGGAAAACGTAGATAATCTCGATTTTCTTCGTGTGGAACCAGAATGGAAGAGCGTGGTTGATGTTGTTTTTGAAAGAAAAAAGAACGCTGGTAATACTGACTCCCAAAGCAATCTTTCACAAGGTAAAGTGCCTAAGGAAGTTATGAATGATGATGAATCATCAGTATACGATAGCGATGATGATGATAATGACGACTGTCTTGAAGAGATGGAAGATGATGTCAGTTTTGAAGACAATGATAGTAGTGATGACAGCCCACTGCTTAACGAGTTTCATTCCTGGTTGATAGACGTAGACGGGGGTTATCGCTGCGCAAAAGTGGCTGGTCAGTACAAGTCACAGGTAAAACGCATCATGAAAGTTCTTTCAGAAGATTTCCCTCAAGCAGCAAATGAAATAGATCTTGTTACTGTCGAGGGGCATGACGGAGTGGTAATGTTGAGGAAGTGGTTGGGTCAACTATCTGAGGAGTATCAACCTGGAACCATTAGATCATACCTAATGAGCCTTAGGCTATTCCTTAAATTCCTTGTGCAAGAAGAGAAAGGGCAAGATAGATTAGACACACTTCATGCAAGGAGAGATCTTTTAACTTCGTGGTCATCTGCTCAAAGAAAGAAGGTGCTGAAAAGGAAATTAGAGAAACATGACATGGACTTTGCAAAACTCCTTTCTAGCGAAGATCTATATAAAGTGTCAAATGGACAACAGCGAATAAACATAATTAAAGCGCTTGGAACAGCTGCGGAGAAAAGCAAAGCTTGTGGAGAACCTGTGCTGGTCAACGATCAGACCTTTTTGCGAAGTAAGGGATTGGCTGATTACAAGATTAATAATTGACAACTCCGGAAGAAGTGGTATTGCAGCAAATATAACAGTGGAGGAATTCAAAGATGCTAAACTGTACGCTGGAGAAGAAGATGGAGAGAGATACCGCGTATCAGTTAAGAATCACAAGACAGGAGGTGTTTATGGGGCAGCCATTGTATGGTTTCATGCTGATGTTTACAATCTGGTGAATACGTATATCTCAAGGGTGAGGCCTAAGTACGTCAAAGATGCCACAGATAACATGTTCGTTTCAACCAATGGCGTTAAACTTACTTCATCGCAAGTATCCACGTGTCTGACTCGTACATTTCAAAGGGAGGGTGTGAAGTTTCACGGTCGCATCTCCGCAACCTTGATAAGAAAATCTCTGGCATCAGGAGTGCATGTCCATTTGCCTGAAGATCAAGAACAACTGGCTGCCCTTGCACAGCACAAACCTCAAACACAAGCTCAATATTACCGCATCAATGACAAAGTTAGAGAAACAGATATTGGGCGTCGTGCTGTCAGAAAATTTATCACCATGAACTGCGCAAAGACAGAGGTAAGTACTCTTATAATGCATACCAATCGTAGTAATTTGAATAACAATTGGCATACGAATTCTGATTTCTTTTAGGTATCAATAATTCCTGTCGAGTGGACCGAGGAAGAGACCTCAAAACTTCAAGATTTATTCAAGTCTGAAATTGAGACTGGTAACATAACTGAAAACATTGTCAGAGATAAACTTGGTGCTTCCAACCTGTTGGAAACACACTCCATGAAGGCAATTGTGTTGAAAGTGAGAAGGCTTCGATCAGAATTTACCAAAAACTTAGAACCACCAACTGAAGTTGAGTCTCCTGAACAGAAGATAGAACGGTTTATGTCTTCCAGAGCTCCATCCATCGCATCTGAATCTGCAAAGCCATCATGGAGTAAGTTCACCGATGAACAAACAGACCATCTCCTATCGTTAACTCAGGATATGATTGAAAACAACGCAGTAAAAAGAGAGGTCGTTTGGGAACGGGTGATAAATGATGAGAAAGCATGGAAAACCGGGTTGGTCTTCGGAACCGATGATGAGGAGCTTCTTTTGAGGCAAAAACAACGTTTGGCGGACAAGGTACGAAAAGAAGTCAAACGTCAAAAGATGAAGAGAAAGTAGTAGTTTGATCCTGTGGTTCTTGCATTATATTTGAACATTAGTTGACATTGAACATTTCTTGTCTTTATGTATTCAGGGTTACAACATAATTGAGTCCTATATTGTTAACATGTTATTTTCTTTAACCGTTTGCCAGTCATTTTATGGTTGATCGTTTTATTTCAAGTAAGTCAATATTCCCTAAAAAAGGCCGATTTACACAATGCAATTTCTTCGTGTGTTAAGGTTCGAACGACAAGTCATAGGGTCGTGTACGACCTGACGAATGACCGTTTATATGGTATGATTCGGGTCACATGCATCAAGTCATATACTACAATCGCATCGTGGAAATCGGCCTTAAGAGTCATATACTACAATCGCATCGTGGAAATCGGCCTTAAGAGTCATAGAATTTGTCTTGGTGACTGATGTGTGTAGGACATCGACTTCTATGAAAAAGATTTAACTTGTCTTGGTCTTGTTGCGAGGTGTTATAAAGTTGAATTTTTCATAAAGCAAAAGTTGTCGTTTAAAAACTTAGCTCCAAGTGATAAAGCTTATATCTGGAATTAAAAGAGTTTACTTTGAGACTCGTTGTCATGAACCTGCAATATATTGTCTTTTTAAGTGCAGTTCCAGTTGAGATTTTGTGGAAGTTTCATGACGTTTTCGAAAAGTTTAGGGTGAAGTCACTAAGCCCGTGAAATACATATTAGACTAACACACTTTATTAACCACTAATTTCGTTGTTTCCTTTAGTGTCTATTGAACTATTACATGTTAACAGTTAAATATTTTTTTATGGGTTTAACTTTACCCTAGTGCAACTTTTGTCGTCATAATAGAGCGATATCGCATAACCCCTTCCTAAATATTGGTGTTTTATTCTAAATGAGCCAATACAAAGATAACATTAGAATACTTAAGACTTTATCTATTGTTGTCTTTCTACGATGTCCATTAACCTTTAACTAATATCCACTTGCTTTTAAAAATATTTATATCGCTCTGTAAACCTCACAAACCGGTGAAATTGCAGCTAAAATCGCCATTGTCATAGAGCTTTAAGGATGATCAACACGCACGCCCAAACTTGTATGCGAGCTGTCAATAGGATATGTATATGTAATCGCATGGGTCCTCGGGCAATTAAGGATTAATTTCACGCGTATTTCCAAACTTTGAAAACACCAGTGAAATTAATCCTTAATTGCCCGAGGGCACTTTGCGATTTCTTGTTTATCACATAAAGGGCAAAATTATCGCGGGAATCCATTCACGCGCGACGTTATTCTTTTAGGAAGCCCGTTCAATGCCGCGACATTGCTCATTTTTTCCTCTTGTCTTTGCCCATTGTTGGAAAATGTTAGTCCAGTAGTCCGTACTTCTTTTTGTGTTTTTGTGCTCACTTGTGTTTAGTAGTTCCTCAATAAACTCTTCAACAAAATGGGAAGCCATTGTTGCAGAAAATTTTAATCGGCAACAAATCTAAGCAATAACTTCATTACAAAGCAACTTTAAACCAATCAAGATCAAGTAATCATGCCCTTTTGATTACCAAAAGTACCCTCGTGATTAAGAAAAATGCCCTCTGTCTCAGCCAATCAGCACTTAGTAATTTTGCCCTGTATGTGATAAGCTACATAAAATGGGAATTTGCTAGGTGTAGAGTTTTGCTCATAAATCCAATTAACAGCAATAAAATCTATCGAAAAACCAGTGGCCATGTTTGTAAAGTAAAGCGTCATGTCTCTTCTGAAAATTAGCCGTTTGCGCATTTAGTAAGAGTATCTAAATTTTGTGCTAGCAAACTTAAGGTGGAATCCCTGTACATGAAAGGGTATCATTTACTGTTCCCCCTTTTGTTGGGAATCTACTTCCCTGAAAAAAATAAGCTGGAAAAATGTATTTTTACGCGTTAAGAACTGTGCTTAATTTAAGTAGATCTACTGAGTACAAAGACTGTCTCAGGCCTGCTAGTATGGACACCTTAACCCAAGACGTTTTACTGCGTCTTTAATCATGTTTAAGGTATACAAGCGACAGGAAGCTTCGTATATTTCTAATTTTTTACACCTAGAGTCTGTCATTACAATTTGCGCTCCTCTGCTCTTAATGTTTCCCAGCCTGTAAATACCTCTAGCCATATTCAGAGCTCTTTTCATACACTATCTCTCATTCTTGGAACCAGTTACCATCTTCAATTAAATCAGCAACCACTTTATCGGAATTTAAGTCTGGCCTATCTCGCATAACTACGCTTGGCTGTAAGCCTATAAGTGTATTAGTATACAATTGTAGAGGTAGGGTTATGAATTGGTAATTAGGCTTTGGGTTAGGGCTATAATGTTAGGTGATTAGGGCTGGTAGGGTTTCAGGGAAGTTCAGCATCGGGAGCTAAGTGATATTTTTGCGTTTTTATCATCTTTGTCGAGCGTTTTTAACATGAGCCATTAGGCTCGGGGATTGGGTAACCACCCCTACGTTGCCGACGTGAAAAAAAAAAAATTGTTGTTGTCCACGTGATCAGTAAAAATGGTCTAAAAAAGCTTTATTTTGTTAATTCAATTAGTACACTAGGCAGGGAAATCATCTTAACTGTCAATATTGCTCCGCTTCTCTTTTTAACTTGAATGTCGCTCAGTCACGATATTTCTGCTTTAATTCAAATAATAACACTTTTAAAAAATGTTTAAATTATTTTCCATGTTCCCTTTCACAAGGCGTCTTTTAGCTATGCAAACAAATTACCAGAATTCCGCTTTATTCAAGTTTTATAAGTAAAAAATGTCCCATCAATTTGGCAAAGTGGGTATTTGCTACTTACAAGTGGGTATTTGCTACATAAAATGGGTATTTGCTACATGCAGAATTTCGCTCGTAAAATTGATAAAAATGAATGGAATAGCTTGTAAACACGTTGTAAATTCTTAAAAATAATGCGTCATCCATGCATGCGAAAATCATGGCATTAGAATGAACTAAAAGTGAAATAATGCGAAAAACGCATTTTTAGAAATGTTTGGGTTCCAAAGTTTCAAGTCTTGTACACCTACATACCCAGAAGCGCACTTTTTGCTAAAAATGGTCTTCACAGAAAAAATTTTAAAACGACAGAACTCAGAAGGCTTTTACGGCAAAAGAAAACATTTAGAAGACCTTTGATATCCGGAAAAGTTTTTGAATTTTATAAAAAAAAAATGATTGATGTACCTAGGTTTGGGTATTTGCTACCTTCTGACTTTTCAGTGACGAAATGCGAACAACAATTAAACTTTAATAACGTTGGTTTTGCATAGAAGAGAGCTAAAAAGCAATATTCTTTTGGCTAGAATTGTTAAATACTTTAAAAAAAAAAGAGAGAGAGAGAGAGAGAGAGAGAGAGAGAGAGAGAGAGAGGGAGGTAGAATAAATAAATTTTGTTATCGTTAAAGCGTTTTTCTTTTTTTTCGTTGTTTCTAGATTGCCCTAAGAACTGTCTTGACTATTATCAAAATGGTTCCAAAACTGACGGTGTGTACTGGGTTCACCCTGATGAAGAAGAACCCTTTCAAGTGCTGTGTGACATGACAACTGATGGCGGAGGATGGACCACCTTTCAAAGGCGCATGGATGGCTCCGTGGACTTTTATGTCGACTGGGAATCATACAAAAGAGGCTTTGGAAATTTGAAAGGCGAGTTTTGGCTCGGAAACGATTATCTTCACCGTCTGACTGCATCTGCCAGCATGGCGTTTCGAATTGATATGGAGGATTACGAAGGCGACCGACGATTTGCCGAGTACACGACTTTTGCTGTGGCCGACGAAAGCGATAATTATCAGGTGACAATCGATGGATACCGAGGCACCGCAGGCGACTCATTGCTTGCGAACACGATGCCTATCAGGTATATCTCATAGTACCCTTTTATACTTTGCTCTGATAATGACTTGTAATACAAGGGTAATTTCAAAAAGTCTCCAGCCCGAGAATTTGGAAATACGTTGATGATTTTTGGAAGCTGAGGATCCCCTACTCTTAAACTCTTTTTCGTCTTCTCGGATAGGAAGTAAAACCGTAGGCCCCGTCTCCTGCAGGGTTGGGGTAGGAGACGTTAATTTCCCACGCACGAGATTACTGTGTGGTGGATGTCCTCCCCTGGGGTGGGATGGGTGGAAGAGACACTAATTGTAAAGCGCCTTTGATCATATAAATGTTAAAGGGCGCTATAGAAGTAGATTAATTATTATTATTATTATAAGCTGATCAGCTTTTTTTTACATACGACAAATCTGAGCTCAACTGCATCATCGCTGATCAGATATTTTAACTTCCAGTTTATTGCTAACCAGGATTGCTCCTTTCAACAAGATGACATCAAATTCCTGTTTGCTGCACTATTAACTAAAACAAACAAGTGTACGTTGCTCACCGTTCCGTTTTCTCGAACTTTTTTTCTGACTGATTTCCCACCATGGGGAATCTTTTTTATTGACTATTGCCGCACTGCTTAAACATGACAGTTGTTTTGTTAAACACAGTTTAATTTTTTTTTCTTTTTAGAAACTATTTGGAATATTTTTGACCCACAAGTACTTGAATCCAATGGAAAATCAAGTTTTTCAGTGCTCTGTTTATAATTTTCATTCAATGAAAACCAGTTTAACAAAACATGTTTTGCTGGTGTGAATGGGGTATATGATATGCTGCCAGAAGCATTGCTTCCTCGCTTTTTCTCAGTTTCTTACGAAATGCATTTGATATCCTAGAAACATGGGTTTTACAACCAAAGACAAAGACAACGACGTTAAAAACAGCGGAAACTGTGCGTTAGACTTTAAAGGTGGCTGGTGGTACAACTTCTGCCATTACGCCAATCCAAATGGTTTGTACAAGGGCGGAAGTGACGCACAAGGTATTACGTGGGGGTCATTTCGAGGACAAGAATATTCTTTAAAGCACACCGAGATCAAAATTCGACCAGCATGATTTCATTTGTGGTAGTGGCGTTTTTTAGCCGACAGCAAATTGTAGCTTCTAATTAAGAATTGAAGATATCTGTTAAGCTTAGAGATATAATCACTTTTAATTTGCGATGATTGTAATATACAAGTTCGGTAAATGCAGCATTTTGTTGGCAGATGGAGCGTTTAACAGTAGTCTTTCAACGCTGTTAGTGGTGATAAACTTTTTATAATTTTGTTTTTGCAATAGTTTTATTGATAGGTATATAGCTACGTATATAAAGCACTTTTTCTGTCTTTAATATATGTCGCTCCCTAAGTGAGAGAAAGGCACTTTTAATCCGTATTGTGAAAACATTATTTATTTCGTCAGTTGAGACTTTCATAGATACTGATGGTGGGCTTAATTCTAATTAAACGTTTTAATGTCTGAAAGATTGTCTGATGGAGAAGTTATTTCGTTACTGTTACTTTCGTTTCGTTTCGTTACCTTCTGGGAAATTACAGATCTGAACACAAAATAATTGCGGTGGGGGAGAGGTTACTGAATACAGGAAAAAACACTATTTTCACTAAAATAATCAGTTCTACCTCAACATCTTGCGTTTGAGTAAAAAATAAAATGACGGAGCCAGCGAATCGGTGAAGAAGTCATCAGTCTTCAAGTTTGATTGCAGACTAAAACCACAACCTCAGGATGAAAAAAGAATTATGTCTTCATTATGCAGTCAGGATTTCAAATGAATTTTATCATTTCTTTCGTCTACTATGGTTGCCGAAATGTAGCAAAATGTAATAAAAATATATCTTTATTCGATAAAAATATTTTTATTCGATGAAATATATTTCTATTGACAAAACGTATTTTAATTTGACAATATATAATTTCATTCGTTAAAAAAAAAATTTCGTTAAAGAACCTTAGTTTATTCAATTTTCATTCCATAAAAAACATATTTGTATTCGATAAAATCACATGGTAAGCTTAGTGATGACCAATTAATTTTGCTGCTACTGCTGTTCATCGTTTTTGAGAGGAAATTCACTTCAGCAAAACAGATTATCTCATCATGGGTCAAAGGGTTTTAATTTGAAGAAAGAGTTTTTTACATGTGTACAACTGTTTTACAAACCTCTTTTGGCAGAACATTTCTATAACATGAGACCCCTGCCAGTCGAGGTATTTTGGGAAATGAACTATATAATGTCGACTCGGCTCTGAATGATGTGGAAGCATTGCGGCTGAATGTGGAACTGTTGTACCGCAGTATGTCCCTCGCACGGTTCACTACCTGACTAACTTGCGAGCTCAGTCGTTGGCTCGTACTTTCTATAGTAGCAGCATGACGAAGGCTTTCTAGCTTAGCGATCAGGCCTAAGCTTACCATGTGATTTTCCCGGCAAATGAAGATATTTTTTTATCGAACAAAAACATTTTTATCGAATGAAAATTTAATAAACCCAAGATTTTTTTTGCAAATGAAATTATATTTTGTCGATGAAAATGTATCTCATCGGATAAAAATATTTTTATTAAATTTTGCCCCATTTAGGCGACCCTGTGTATTGGACAATTCTTTCCGTCTCTTAGTTCCCTGGACACTCTTGGACTTATGGAGTTTTTTTAACCACTTTGTTACGATTCAAACAACTTCTGTTGTGAAAGGTATAAAATGCAAATAAGACTAAACTTGTGAATGAAATGAAAACAGTTGTTGCCGCCATATCCTTTATTCACGTGTTTAATTATGATTAAAAGCTCCCACTTCTTGACCAGAGGGGTAAACAGGATGAATATCATCCGTATAAAGACGACATTTAAAAATGAATTTAAGAAAAGTAAATAGTTAGAGAAAACAGTGTGAAAATTATGTGCGAAGAATCACGGATACACATTCACATATATTATATCAGTGGCAGTATCCGCGAATCCTGTGTTCATTAAGCAAACTGCATGAGGCATACACACAAAAGAGAAATAAACAATCAAAAGCCAAAGTGCCTCAGGGAAATACAGGAAACACACAAAACCTTAACAAATTAAAACAAGCCTGAATTGTCAACGGGCTTAAAAGTTTTATGCAATTTGCAGTGCACGCTACCATTCCAAAACTTGGTCCCACAGCTTGGTTCTACCTTCGTCATTGACTTTCTGACGGCACAAAAAAGAAGTTGACTTTAACTTTCTTCTAAGGTTGAACCCAAATCTCAATTTCTCAATTTCCTTACACCTGCTTGCCTAGTTACCAAATCAGATAGAAATGAAACAAACATTCCTTCTTCTTCATCATAAACTTACCGACGGTGAAGATTACATATGCATCTCTGCATAATGTTTCTTCTTTGTGCCGTTGCGTACGGCATGGGCCGTATTTCAGAGCCGGATCTGAGAGCTGTTAACTTTGCCGAAAAGATAGGAGGACAAAAGCTGAACGGAAGCCTGATAAAAGAAACAGAAGTGGGGGAGAAAAATAAGAATTCCTGTCAGTTAGAGTGTGTGAATGAAGAGCGATGTCAATCTTATAACTTTGGAACCCAAAAAGGCGACTCAGGGAAATTCAAATGTCAGCTAAGCGACTCTGATGGATTTGTCGGATTTGCTAATTTACCGAGGACGAAAATTTCATTTACAAGGGGATAATGGTGGGCTAAATCTCTTTTCGTGTATCAAAAATTAATTGTGGCTCAATGTTTGAATATTATTATCTAAAATCAAAACTGGATCTCAGTAAAATAATTTCTAACTGGGATACATCAACCTTACTCTGCCTAACACATGTCGCTAAAGCTTTTGGGAATCTAAGATTCTTGCAGCAACTTGGTGAGAAATTTGCCGATGTCAGGGAAAGAAGCCTGGTAGAGCCATGCTAAACAGGAAAAAGTTAGACCTTGATAAAAAGTTCTAAAACTATTTGAGGGAAATAATTTTTGCAATGAAGAGCTAGTAGTCGTGTTTATACAATAGGGAAAATAAACCTTGAAATTTTATTCACTTGTAATTTGATGTTGTAGCATTCAAATGCCGAATTTTTTCTTGATTTTACTTGTTGAGTTTGTCTTCACGTCATGTTAGTTTTGTTAGGAAGTGTAATATATATTTATAGAGTTTTCGTAACCACTTACATCCTCTTAAAGCCGTTGCTCGACGAAATCATCAGTTATAGCGCCCAATTCCCTCTCTCTAACTCCTGTTTTGACCAAATTAATTATTATAAGCAAACGGTTGGCGAACTGCTCGACACAAATGGAACAATTCCTAAAATTAATCTCCCGAACGATTCGTGCCGCTGAACTTTTTTAGCGGCAAAACTGATTGTCTAATCTCAATTTCATGACCCAAGCTTGAAAAAGCTTCTTTTAACCTTCCAACCAACATCTTTTTGATTGGCTTGGTGAAAATTTATGAGTTAGTCTTAATATAATTACTTGAACAGAAGGTAAGAAACTACACATTTAAGCGCGAAAATAACGCTGGTCATCATTCCACTAGTATGTAGAGAGCACGCAAAATTTGCTACGGTTTAAAGTCCCCCCCACATTAAAGTGTAGAACAGGGAAAAAATAAGGGGCAACAAAATAGCTGTACTAAACGATCCAAACTTTGATTTTTTCGCTAGTTTTTCTAGGCTTTACTTTTAGAGAAACGAACTTTTAAGCGCGATAGATTTTTTTGTTGGTCACAAAGTACAACTTTGATGGTTTCGTACAGGTTGTTTTCGTCTATCGAGTTCTCCTCATGCGATCGATACGATGCACAGCTGAGACCGTAGGATGTATTTCGCACACCAAAATCAAAACTTAAATAACGGTGGATAACAATTTTTCGGACTGCGTAACTCGCAAAATATCCACGCGTATTATATGGTAAAATTCATTACCTGACGAGGGAATTCCGCGTTAAATTGCACGTGAAAACCGATATTGCACGAATCGCGAATAATTGAACAAAAATAAGAAAAAAAGAAAACTGTAATAATATTTCTTGTTTTATCCTGAACACGCGAACCAGATAGCCATTTCAAAGTCAACTTTCAGAACCGTCATTGCGTTAGCGAATAGGAAGCAAGGTCAGTCGTACACGTTTGAATCTTCAGCAACTTTATTTGTACGTTGTAATTGTTTTTACATTTGTTCTCAAACTTTTTAAATAAACTTCACACTATCATAAGGATAATATTGGTATTTCAATGAATTTACAAGCCGTTTATCTTTAAAATCTTTTTTAAAATTTCGAAATCATTTCCTCGAGAAGGAATATTTTTACACCTTTTACATCTTTGGTGGCAAAACTGAAAGAAATGAAGTGACCAAGCGAAAGCACTGAAAGTTTAACATCGCAATTAAAGGTATTTATTTCTTCTTCTGTATATATGGCAATTGACCCTGGCACTTCTTCCGTTGTCGCTTCTTCGTTTT